ATACCAATTGCCTTCAGCCCTTCTAGCCTCTTCTCGGGTCGGCCAGCCATTTTCGCAGCTGACTAAGGCTTTCCCTGATTACCCCCGATTGGTTGGTGTAGAAACAGCAAGTTTCCCCAAGGGCCAGACAGAGGCCTCCCTGCTTTAGGAAAAGCAGATCTAGGCCTCTTCTGTTTTGCAACTCCACCTCTGCAAGTGAACTGAGGGAGTCCTCCAGTTGGCTAACAGATTTCTCAAGAGTACTTAAATCTTTATCTATCTGCCTGCTTAACTCTTTATAATTTTGGTGGCCAGTTGCTAGGGCGGCTGTTCCGACGGCCGTGGATCCTGCTAGTCCTATTCCCATAAGAAGGGGGACTAGGATGGGGGCCCTTCTAACCCTCTTGGGTTCGAGGTTTAAATGTTCTCGGCCCCCTTCTCCCGAATAGTAGTACACCTGCGGGAGGATATGAGTTAGAATGCATAGTCCAGGGTTCGTCAGATGCTGGAGGACTGGAGAGAAGATGCAAGGGGTTATACCAGTTGTACATGCCCACCAAGTCCCCTCCGGAGCTACTAAGTAGGTAGGGGTCTCTCCTGTATAATTCTTTGGAAGTATAATAGATGAATTACATAGATCTGTATAAGTGGAACTGCTAAGGGGGTAGTTCCTAGGGTACACACAAGTCCCTGGGTTCAGGAGGTCTCCAAGAGTGAGTCGTGGTTGTTTGTGTCCCCACATACACAGTCCGTCCGGCAGACTTTCTGCCGAAAGGTTCCTGATGGCAGAGGCATCCTTGCCAAGCTGGGCCTCCGCCCCTATCCCAACATAATAAGGGGGTTCAGGGTTAAGGCACAGCCAGCAATCAGCGGTCAGGTTTGGGGAGGAGCGATTCAGGAAAGAAAACATTAAGTCCAGAGTTCCCAGCAGCTGCTGGTTTGGTCTTCCTGCGCCTGCTCCTAAAAGCTGTTGTAGGTTCCCAATGGCTGGTGAGGTTGTGGCTGCAGGTGGAGCGGGGCTGGGGTTCTCAGGCTTTTGTGACTCAGGGGAGCCAGGAGGTTTTGCTGGGGCTGGGTGCTGTGGCAAGCTCAGCTTCTTTTGTTTGTCTAGGGGACGCAAGGGGCCAATCGGGTTGAGCCACCGGGGAAGAGTCCGGCGCTGAATGGTGAAGAGCTGGCCAGGGTCTCGGCCGCTGACATGGAGTCTTAGCCCCCACGTTTTTCCCCCTTCCCATTGGTCAGTCCACCAGGCAAGAGGTATGAGGATGACGGGGTTGCAATCTCCGACAGTGCAGTTCTTCTTTGGGGTCCCAGGTCGAACCTCTCTGGTCAGATGGAGGAGCTTGTCGGTGGGAGGTTTTTTCCATAGGGCTAGAGTCTCGCAGCCCCAAGAGGCACAATAGAAGTCGTCCTCTCCTCCACAGTCACTACCCCCTTCCCGGGGGCAGACATAATGTTCAGTGTGCCATAATCCTTGTTCCAGGGCCAAGTTTCCGCACCCATAACTCTTGATTCCAGTGACCCAGGGTTGGTCCCCCAGCCATACCTGGTCGATATGGTTTGGCCATGGGAATTTCCCCAGTTTTTTCCAAACAGTTTGCAGAGATCTGTCCGGATGACAGGCGCCCCTACTCCTACAAGAGAGCCTATAACAGTCCCATCAATAGTCCGTGTGTCCTCCCAAGAGTAATTCTTGGCTGAATGGGGATTTCCCAATCCTGGCTGCATGGAGACTAGAAGAGTCAGGATGAACACCGAGTGAGTCTGACCTTTAACGGGTCTCCGGTCCTCTGGGCCCGCCATCCCTCGACGCTGTCGTTCGCCTTCTTAACCTGCATATGATGGATCCAGTGCCTCTATCCTGCAACTTTGATGGAGGTTGGAGTGCTCAGCACCACCTGGTAGGGTCCATCCCATCTAGGTTCCAGGCTGCCAGGGTCGTGGCGTTTTACCCAGACGAGATCACCCGGAGAGAAGGCAGGCTGCGTTGGACTGGTTCTTGGTGCGTCCTCCTCTCATACGGCTCTCACCACCCGTTGTGCCGACCTGGCTCTGCTCTGCAAAGCCTGTAAGGACTTAAGCAAATTT